AGAAAAACACATTTCGTGTTTTCATTTGATCTATATCATGATCCTGTAAAAATGTCAGATTTAGCAAAATAGATAGGCGATCTCCATCTGCACACGTCTACTCATTTCGACTAAGCTATTGCCTATACAAGTACTTACACGCACACGCATACTTTTAAATTAATTTTATTTTGATAATGATTTAAAAAACACAAATTATTATTAACACGAAATTAAAATGATTGTTATATTCCAATCCTAGCAAAGTATAATTAAGCGTGACTATAGGTCATAACAACATGTGGCCGGTCTAATTATACTGTTTGTTTTGATAAGGCTGTGCAAAGAGATATCAAAACTCTTGACACACTCTTTACACGCGATGTTTTTGCACCTCTTGACACGTCTTGGAATCTCTAGATACCCGGAGTTCCTAGACTATCTTTGCACGTCTAGAAATTGCTTGGAATTTCACATTTGACGCAGTGTTTATCATTCATCAACTCAAGCACTGATCCATATCCCTAGCAAGTTGCATTATCAGGCTGCATTACTGTGTTCTGGGTGTCTCCATGGCTCTGATACAGGTAAAGTTATGGGGGTCTTAAACTGGTGCAGACTACCCCAAAGGAGGGAACAACACATTCTTAACTTCATGTACAAAGTAATCAGAAACCAGGTACCCTCCTATGTATCTTCAATATTTGAAGAATTCAAAAATCCAGCTACCAGAAGAACAAGCAATACAGAAGTATACCAAATTACTATAAGGTCAACTGCCCAATTTATTAAATCCCCTATTCCTAATGCAATATCACTGTGGAACAAATTACCTAAACCTCTTTTAGAATATGCCTTAAAATTTTCCCTACCATCGTTCAAAAAAGAAAGTAATAAACACTTTCTGCCCAAGAGAGTTCAACGTCCCTGATTAATTTAACAAGGTCTCAAGAAATCACTCTCAACAGAGCTCGTGTAGACTTATTTTTGAAAGCAAGACTTTTTGCACACCAATTTACATTTATAGACTCGGCTCATTGTTCTTGCGGCAAACCTGAAACACTAAAACATTTATTTTTCAAGTGTCCTCTATGCCAAATTAATAGGCATGCCCTGATGGAAGAGGTCAACAATAACTTCTATAATAGGATCAGCCAACTAACAAACATGGATGATAAACTTAATTTTCTCTTATATGGTGACGAGACATTATCCTTAGCAGAACTAAGTAAACTTCTTATCATCGTCAGCAATTTTCTCCATGACAACAAGACATAGCAAAGAGGTCTCATCTAAGCCCTGGAGAACTCATAATATATTTATTTTGTTTTTTACACATCTACTTGGCACAAACCCCTCTGGTCCCTGGGATACCCTTCGATGCACAGTCGTCCCCAAACAGCTAAATACTATACTTAATTTTTTACATGTAAGTGATGGCCAACCTATAATGCCAATATGGCGATTGGTGGCCGAAAATGTATTGACTTTACCTCAATAAAGTTTATACTATAAAAAAAAAAAATATCCACAAAAACGTTTTTAATATAAATTGCAGTTGATCTGCTCCGGGGGACTTACCACCGAGCTGTTCTGAAATTAACAGTATTCTTGTTCAAACCACCGTAAAAACTACCGTTGTTATTTGGAAATTCTGAAAAATTTCTTCCCGCATGCCATTACCAACCCGAAAATAAATAGGTGTCGGCAGGTCTGTGACAGTGGTTATTGCTTACTTAGTAAGTAACTAAGTAAGCTGGCGTGTAATCAGTCATCACTGGGGAGAATCGTGAAGCAAAAACACTGTGTTCAACTACCACATGCTACTGTAGTTATAAAAACACTGAAGTGTTCAAATTGTTAGTCTGTTTATGAAAGAGTTCCATGAATGCTGTGTTAGAAAAACATACTTTATTATTTATTCATTGAAGTGTGTCAAAATCTACGCAAAATCATTTTTTTAATCTACCGCAAAAACTACCGCATTTTTTCAAAATGTTCCGCAAAAACTACCGCATCTTTTTAATCTACCGTAAAACTACCGCATTTTTCAAAATCTTTCGCAACACTTCAGTATTTTCAAAAATCTACCTCAAAAACTTCAGGATTTTTTCAAAATCTACCATAAAACTACCACATTTTTGTCGAAAAATACCGCAGAAACTACCACATTTTGAAAAAATCTACCGCAAAAAATGGTGGATTCAGGGCAAATCAGATTTCAGGATATGTATTCAGTAAAAGATTCACCGAAATATATTTTGATGCAGAAAATTAATTCTAAGTTGGCTGACTTTTTTGCACGTTGCCTCACAAGGCTACAAGATCATTTTTGAAAATCATTTTTACGTCCTGTGTTATTTCAATGGGAGAGGTTTCTTGATAAAGCCTATTACTTTCAGACTTTGCTTAACGTAAATAAAGACATCATTTTTGTAAAATAAAATTCCAATTCAATTGTCGACTAAAGCTAGTGAAAGTACTAAAATGAATTATATTTCCCCCCTCCCAAAATAGTTTTTTCTTTACAAATAATGCATATAAGAATTCAAACTTAAAGATGCTTTAATACATAATCCAATGGGTTAGTTAGGATTGCCAAACCTTTGAATGGAGTGTAATTGTACAAATTGCATTATTTGAGAAATCCTAATGAAAGGGGGGATTTGTGAATAAATAAAAATAGAACCCCCGGTCACCAAATCCTGGCTTCGTTTTGAATTGTTTTCGTCACATATTTGCCTTCTTTTCGGGGCTTTCTTCTTTGGTATGGCATTGGTCTTATATCTGGACATTTGGTATGACACTAGTCCTACATTTGGACATTTTGTATGGCATTGGTCTTAAACTTGAACATTTGGTATGTGTTTTAGGCAATTGTTTGGTTATTATGGAGGAGGAAGGAAGAAAGTGCAACAGATTTTTGACAGTTGATATTTTTTTGCAAGTAGTTTCTGGCTGTAAAAATGAATGCATATGAAATGCAAATGTTTAACCTTCAAGAAAAGTTCAAAGAATGATTTCAAGATCGGTTGGATTATCTCATAATCCATGTAAAATCCAACTATTAACAAGCTTTTTTGAAAATACATTTGTCATTTTTACCATCGCCCATCATTTTTTCTACAATTTTTCATGCAAAGTTACATCGTACTTGAACATGTGTCTCATCATGTAGAATATACAAATGATTTTATAATTTTATTTTTTTGAAAAAATGATCCTCAAAAAATGCATGTTTACAGAAATAGTGTAAAAGATGGCAATGTTTTTCAATAACATAAATACCAACACGTACTTTGATGAATTTCGTGAGTTGTTCTTTAATCCTACATTCACTGACCGAGAGTGCGTTTTCGTATGCCAGCGGGCACAATCCACCCGCACAGCACTTAATGAGCCTTTTCAGCAGGTATCATGTAAAGAACGAAAAGCTCCGCGATGCAAATTACATGCTAACATGCTTTCAACAATAACTCATTCAACACTTAAACACCTAAATCTTTTAATGCAGGACACCTGAAATTATTTATAAAGCTACTAAATAGTCCAAGTGAATTTTGCGAGACAAAAATGGTGCCCATTTTGAAAATAGGCAAGCTTTTTAACCAAGAGTCATAGGGGGGTTTTCTGTATTGATATTGAACAAAAATAACTTAAAAAGGGAAAACCTTTCAACCAGGTTTTAAAGCATGCCGCTATTGTAGACTGACTGAGAGACAGATGGGCATATCAATGACGACTAAAATGGATGACTACTGTTTTTATAAAGCTACTCAAAGGTCTAAAAGGGATCGATTCTGCGATGCAATGAGCGGCCATTTCGAAAATAGGAAAGCCTTTGTTGCAGGACTCATAGGGGGGGGGGGGGAGGTTATGTACTGATGCTGAACAAAAATAACTTAAAACGTGAACCCTAGGTTCAGAGGTTTGAAAACAAATGGTCCAAATGTTGATTTTGCGAGACAAAAATGGCAGCCATTTTGAAAAAGGGGTTTTCAGTATTAATGTTAACAAAAATAAAATAAAACGGTAATCTTATTGATAGAGGTTATAAAATGTGCAACTATTGTTTACAGACTGTCGGACAGACTAACTGACAGACTGATGGAAATGCTGCCAAAAAATTAACTCCAAATTTTGGGGGTTCGCAAAATTGCTGGAAAAAGGAGGTTCAAATTAAACAAGGCACAGACGTGAACAATATCGTACCTAAAACACAGCATTGTGGTCTTGTTGACCAAGAAAGCAAGATGGCCGCAGAAAAGTTAATCAGCTCTAGAACTTATCACTGTGTAACATATGTAAAAATTTGAACGGTTTGGCTGGAAACCTGTAGACACCTGTAGACAAGCCTCGATAGACAAGATTTTAGGACAGAAAATCCAAAATGGCCACCTTAAAATTTACCCAGAATGCCCAAAAACCAATCAGTTCTTGACGTTGATATGTAGAAACATCCCTGAAAATTTCAGATGAATCCCTCAAATTGTTTGGCTGAAAACCTGTAGACAAGTCTTGAAAGTGAAGATTTTAGGACGGAAAATCCAAAATGGCCACCTTAAAATTTACCCAGAATGCCCAAAAACTAATCAGTTCTTGACGTTGATATGTAGAAACATCCCTGAAAATTTCAGATGAATCCCTCAAATGGTTTGGCTGGAAACCTGTAGACAAGTCTTGAAAGTGAAGATTTTAGGACGGAAAATCCAAAATGGCCACCTTAAGATTTACCCAGAATGCCCAAAAACTAATCAGTTCTTGACGTTGATATGTAGAAACATCCCTGAAAATTTCAGATGAATCCCTGAAATGATTTGGCTGGAAACCTGTAGACAAGCTGAAAAGTGAGATGCCGCCCGCCCGCCCGTCAAGCTGACTACAATATCGTACCTCTAGTTAGATACGATAAAAAACGCACAAACCCTCTCTCCCTACAGCCCTAAGATGTAGAATGTTGTATCCTCTATAATGTGTTTATCATACAAAAGGTAACTTAAGCATATCCTAAAGACACCTACGTTTGATTGTTCTGCAGATAGTTAAGTACTCCAAGTTCATTGAGAGTGCGTGCATGGTCTGGGGAATCAGGTCCTAATGCGAGTTCTTCAAGCTGGAGAACACGCCTGCGTATGGTGTCCACTCCTTTTAACTGACCCTAAACACAACAAACTGAACATAAGATCTGTCTTTAACTCAGGTTAGAAAAACAGCAACTCCATGGAGTAGCAAATCCCATTGAACAATACATATTTTTTTGATAAATAGCAGTAATCTTGAAAATTTCTTCTTGAACAGAGCTTTAAGTCCCTAGGAATCAGCATAAAAAATTAGAACCAAATCCCTCCACTGGTATTTGAGTTAGCAAAGATTATATCCTCAAAAAATGACAGCCATTTTGAAATTTAGTTGCATCATTGAAACTTTCTTCTTTAAGGTGATTGTTGCTACCTAGGCCTGAAAATTACAATTTGATTACGATTTGATCCCCCATAATAGGTATAGGCGAGTAGAACTGGACATTTTTTTGTTTATGCACACATGCTAGTTTAATAACCAGAGTTAATTTTAAGAAAATAAAAATTATAAGTCACCGATTTTTGCATGGTTTTGCATTTTAGTTCAATTTATTGTGCAAATTATCTTTATAAACCCATTAACTTAATAAATACCCATTCCCTTTGGAAAAATGTTGTTCCCTCTCAATAAAGTCTCATGGGCGTTTAGTAAAAGATCTTTCAATTAAACGCCCTGTGCAAAATAAACGCCCAGTCTTATGTAATTATCTAGAGTCCATTTCACTGTTTTATTGCGTCAGTAGAACCCCCAAAATAAGAAATTGGGAGACCCTTGTGCAATAATATATTGAAAAGTATATTCATAATGTACATGTATGTATATTTCAGATTTTCTAGTTTTTGCAATAAGCCTGTGCCCTCTTGTAATTTGAAGAATTTCAGCCATGTTAATCTTGTTGAAAATAACATGGCAGAGCAGCATCCAAATATAAGAGGCCACACACTTTATAAGCAAAACTAGAAGCAATGCAAGATATACAAATGTCATTCATGTGCAATAGGAATATATTTTTCCATATATTATTGCATAATGATATTTTGATTCCTTATTTTTTAGCTTTTACTGACGCAATTAACAAGTGAAATGGACTCTTATCACATAAATGGTCCATGTGCAGTATGAAAAGTGATTTTAGATGGTCATATCTTTCACCATGAGTATTTTCTGGGTATAAAATTAAATATAGACTCTTAGAATGTCATATTTTTTTATTTTTTTTTTCATTTATTTCATATATACATACTACAGCATTCTATAATTTTTTTTGTCTTGAGAATTGAAGGGTTTAAGGTTGTCGCCAACATTGGTTATACATATATATTTTTTAAAGTGATAAAAAAGCTTGTTTTTATGATATTTTCACGACAAAACAAGTTCTTATGATCTTTTTATCTACCAAGTTTACATTCTTTTTTTTATTGATCAAGTATTATTTATGAATATTGTGGTTGTTACATGTATTTCAAATGTAGTTGTATGCATCTATGGAATAACCTCATTCATACATCCCTCATTCATACATTCATTCACTCATTCAATCATCTTTTCATTCATTACACATTTTACAATATGTTAAATATGACCTTTGGCTACATATCTATTTATTTTTTATTACTATTTTATACACATTATTTCTATTATGTCAATAGAAAATATGAAGTTAATACAAAAATAAAAACATACGTATTCTTATAACTTTTCATAAATGACTGCTAGTTCGTCATTCTTATGGAAAAAGTGGATCTCTCTATATAATCTTTGATATATGATTTGAACCCATAAAAGGTTACATTTGTTTTTTCTAGAAAACTTTTGTATATACAATATTTCATAATAATGATTGCTAAATTCATTACATTATACTCATTGTCTTTAGGTTTATGACCATATAAAATATCTTTGTTATGTAGTTTTACTTTATCATTCATTAACAGTTTAGAAAATTCACTTCACATTTCTTTTGCTTTTTCACAATCAACGATCATATGTTTCAGGGTATGGATTTCATCGCAATACAAACATTTTTGTGTATCAGCTAATTTCATTTTGAACAATTTATCTTGACATATAAGTATATTATGGAGTATTTTAAATTGAAATATTTGTAATTTGGGATCTTTAGTAATTTTCTTTGCTAACATAAAATGTGATTGAATATCTTCTTCTTCAATTAATAGGTTTTATAACTGTATAAGGGCTAAATAATACAGATTAGCTATTTGCATATCAAAAATATTTTTTTCTGAATTACTGATGTTATTACATAAATTTTGGTGAAAAATTAAGTTTGTACCTCATTTACTTCCAAAGTTATGAATTACAGTCCTTTTTCATTTTGACCGATTTTTAAATTTTGGTGAAAAATAGGTTTATACATACCTGTCAACCTCTCATCGTTTAAAATCGGGACAAAAATCGGGACAAATCGGGATTTTTCAGAAAAAATCGGGACAAACCGGGACTTTTCGAAAAAAATCGGGACAAAAATCGGGACAGCAAAATCTCTCAAAAATCGGGACTTTTCAGAAAATGTACACTTGTGGTGAAGCCTGAAATGCGCGTACGCATTTTTCGTATAATTGGAAATACATTTAGCATGCCCAGAAAAGCATTTTAAAGATATATGCAATGTAAGATAAAAGCCACATTTTACGGTCAGCCAATATTGTTTAGAATTGAAGATTTTATATTTACAGATTCATGATATGATGTGGTGGTGATTGGCCTATGATTTTACGATGAAAGCGTTGTCTCTATAAACGCATGCCTAATGCGTCAATTGATTTTGAAAAGTATACGTTTTGGGATATGATTGGGATCTTGTGGTATATATGATAGAAGTTCCCATGGGCCTAAAATCGAAAGGCTTTCCCCGATTCTCAAATGGGCTTGTAAAAAGAGGATCGACGTGTATTCATTTTGTTGAAATACGGTATCGGCATGATCGGGATGAAAACATTTACTCGGATATATTCTAAAATTAAATCGTTTACGAATCGTTTAACCATGGGGTTTCAATAGATTGGTTTAACGTACATTATGTTACGCGGTATATGGCATATATTCATGGTTGCGCGGTATTTGTGATACGGGTGAATATGCCATACTCACCTGCAGTATATGGCATATTCCGCAGGGGACTATGCGATATTCCGCAGTGAATATGCGATACATTGATTTCAGTGAATACCCGATACTCACCTGCGGAATATGTCATACTCACTTGCGGAATATGCCATATACTGCAGGTGAATATGACATATATCGCAGGTGAAAACGTGATACAGAAAGTCTTGATTTGATTGGTTGCGAGAATCGACTCTAAATGTAAAACTACGCTGGATTACCAATATAGTTAGTGCGTCGAGTACTAATATATGAATCCTGGATTGATTGAGTAAGTTTATTACGCAAGATTGGTGACTGATACTTCTGTTAAGTTAATATATTCGAAAAACAGTACTGTTGATTCAGTAATCATTATGATAATTTATAACGTTTTACTTGTTCGTTCAATCGATGCAATTGACAATTGCGTACTTCCGTATCACGTTCTCATTGGTAAGTGTGTATACCATATACCGCAGGTGAATCTGTCATACACCGCAAGTGAATATGCCATATTCGTTGCGGAATATGACATATTTTAGTATCGTGTTTACCGCGTAACACATTAGGCCTTCATTCTGATTCATTTACTTTGGACAGTTTGTAATGAAGATGGCTTGGCCGCATTCAGTAGTCACTTTTTGATGTAAACTTGACAAGAATTTTGTTTGCCAACAAGGACCTAAGCATGTAATATAAATTGCTGTGTGAATTAATAATGCGCACTTTGTCCAAGAGCAAAGTGTATGAGTTAGTATTATTGACGTCTTTTAAAAAATTAAATATCATTGCATATATTTTAGATGAAGATGTTTACCAATTTATAGACAAATAATTTCGAAAGGTATATGCTCTATCTGATTTTAAAATATTTCTTGAATGCATTTTGAATATAAAATCTAATAATAAAAAGCCGATATCTACCGGGCTTGGTGCTTTTAATTAAGAAATATAGACCGAAAAACTGTTGGGTGTAAGGAATGAATACAGACCCCATGGGTGGGTAAACACGTTTTCTGTAAAAAAGTGTGTGCCCGACCAGAGGGTTTGTAGTCATTCATACTCCAACAGTTTTGAGGTCTATATTACGATTGGGACATGACGCAACAATTCAACAAAAAATGTTGTTAAATACTCTATGTGTTCATCATAAAGCCATCGTAGCAAGTAAAGCTGCCAACAAAATGACGGTATTAAGCAGGCTACTAAATTTCGACAACGCACTGATGTAGAAATTATCTCTCAAAGACGCTTATATACCCTATATATATATATTATTCCTGAATAAATAACAGAAAATGCGTAACATAATGTTAATATTCTGATCATTTAATGTTAGAATAGATCATATTTGTATAGCATTTGCTTCCCATGTACAGCACATAAAATACAGAACGAAAATATTAACCTCTTGTGCTTTTGATGCAGAATGAGCTCTTCAAATAGAAGAAGAATTCGTAGTTGCATACCTGTCAGTAGTTTAAAAATTAATCGGGAAAAATGTGTTGCAAATTGAATTCAATACAAAATTTACATGAAAACAAGTAAAAAATAAATCGGGACAAAATCGGGACATATGTGCCAAAAATCGGGACAAAATCGGGATCGGGACAGGCCTAAAAAAATCGGGACAGGCCAAAAAAAATCGGGACAATCCCGATTAAAATCGGGACTTGACAGGTATGTTATACCTCATAAACTTCCAAAGTTATGAATTAAAGTCCATTTTCATTTGACCCCCCTGAAATGTCTGGGTAGGGGGAGAATTTTTTTCACAATCTTTATATAAGATGCACTTTTAGTATTTTTCACATCTGTTTGTAGATGCATTTTTAGGAAATATTTCGTAAGTTATAATTTCATATGAAGGCAATTACAATAAATGTCGTATATCATCATTTCGTCATTTAATAGTTTATATGGCGGTTTAAGGGTTAAATTATGCAAATTAGCTTATTTTTGTTTAAAATATTTTTTTTCTTCATTACTGATGTTATTTCATAAATTTTGGTGAAAAAATTAAGTTTGTATTTTTTCTCAATTATTGATCTTATTTCATAAATTTGGGTGAAAAAATTAAGTTTGTATCTTATATACTTCCAAAGTTATGGATTAAAGAATATTTTCTTTTGACCCCCTCCCTTAAATATTCGGGTAGGGGGAGAATTTTTTTTAAGATACACTTTTAATATTTTGCACATCTATTAAACATATATAGATGTATTTTTAGGAATTATTTCATGAGTTATAACTTCATATGAAAGAGATTACAGTAAATGTTGTATATTATCATTTCGTAATTTAATAGTTTTTATGGCGGTTTAAGGGTTAAATTATGCAAATTAGCTTATTTTTGTTTAAAATATTTTTTTTCTTCATTACTAATGTTATTTCATAAATTTTGGTGAAAAAATTAAGTTTGTATCTCATATACTTCCAAAGTTATGAATTAAAGTTTATTTTCTTCTGACCCCCCTGAAATTATAGGGTGGAGGTATAAAGATGAGGATATCTTATTTTCGCAAGCCTCAAACTCTAGATATCACCCCACATCATAAAATAAATATATTTTCCAACAAGGAAATGAAATAAAAATCTCGCGTAATACTCTCCAATATTCAAAATCAAAAATATTCACCCTGGGTCCCTAAGTAATAGAAGATCCTAAAAACACTTTAAAATCCTCATAATGTGAAGAGCAATTATGAAACAATTTATCTGTCGGCCATCTTGGAATAACATTCCATTCTACTTTTGAAGAAGTTTTAAACCCAGGCCCATAGCCTGGAGTTCACCCTCCCTAGCCAAAAGTTCTTTCAAATTAAATGCAGTTTTTCACCATTTTGAGCAAGTGATTTTAGCCATATTTGGGCCAAAATTGTCAAATGTGAACCCCCCTGGAAATTTTTGAAAACTGCCCCCCCCCCCCCTTGGCAAATCCTGGCTACAGAAACCTTTTTGAATAATCTTTTCATGCAATAAAAATCAGAAAAAGGAGATCCTCATTTGAGTAAATAGGTTCAATATCTTGAAAAAACTGTTGACATGGAGCCACTATTCATAATTTTTCAAATTGTTTGATTGATATCTTTATCATCATGGACACTTCACTTGAAAGAAAACAAATTATTTTAATAAAAACCACTGTATTTATGGCCAGAAAGTACTCATGGTGAAAGATATGACTGTCTTAAATCACTTGCTATACTGCACATGGACCTTTAAACCAAATCCATCCACTGGTATTTGAGTAATCAAAGATTATGTTTTTTTAACGATAAATGTTAGCCATTTTGAAATTCAGCTGCAATCTTGAAAATTTCTTCTTTACCAGAGCTTTTTGTCCCTAGGCATCACCATATGAAATTTGACTCATATCTATACAGTAGTATTTGAGTTATCAAAGATTATGTTTTTTATGAAAAATGGTGGCTGTTTTAAAATTCAGTGGCCATCTTGAAAATGTCTTCTTCAGTAGAGTTTGCATCAAAAAAATTTGAACCAAATCTGTCAATTGGAATTTGAGTTATCAAAGATTACATTTCTTTGCATAAAAATGGTGGCCATTTTGAAATTAAGCCGCCATCTTGAATATTTCTTCATTAGCAGAGCTCCATTGTCCCTGGGCATCAGGTTGTAGAAGAATCCATCCAATAGTATTTGAGTTATCAAATATTACCTTTTTTATGAATAATAGAAATAAGTCGAAATACATTTAAAATGGACAAACAGCTTCTCTACAGTCGAAATGTTGAGACATGCGCAGAGCTCTATTTAGTGATATTTTCATTTCAAATATGGCGGCCAATCTGATGTCTGACGACCCTTTCAAAGAATCTAGGCAGTGTGCATTTTTACCTAACGTGAAATAACAAGTGGCATTTAGTAGTTGTTTTGTGTTTTATTATCATTCTGCATCGTAATTCTATGTGATGTGGTGGTGAAATGTCAGCAGAAATACATATCCATACGATAATCAAGTGAATCAGATAACAGATTTTTCGAAAACCTGTCTCCTGCTAAGAGTGTAAAAACTTGTATTAACATGCTCAAAAGTGCCAATGTGCACATCAATGTCAAGATAAATCAATGTTGTGTCGAAAACAGGTACCTGATCTACTCAAAACAGCTTGTCATTCACGTATACACGCTTAGCAAACATGGCGAAATGATTTGAATCTTGGAATTTCGTTCGAGAGCTAGTAATGTTTGCTCCGGTCTTCGTCATAAGTGTTCATCAGACTTCACGCATGCTCAGGAGAAAAACCATCGACCAATAACGTTTATAGATCAATTTTGCGCATGCGCCTTACAAGGGTAAAGAAATTCGTATTATAAACGAACCAATTTGAGATAACCCGATATCAGTCTGAGAAATCTGACAATCTACGAAACTCACTTCAAAAAATCAAAAGCGGACTGACGGCGTATTCTACTGTGCTGGGATCTAAGATTTTCAGTAAAGATAAAGTCTTTTATGATCTTTCGAATGAGGTAAGTCTCTAGTTCGAAAGACAATCGTATCGTATCAACTTGAACAAAAGTTGAGTTTTGACGAAAATTTTAACATGCGCAGAAGTCCCATTTTCGTTGTACCATATTGACTAGTGGTGCAACTTGAATGCCAGTACTCGCCACTCACTCGTTGAACCTGTCCAAGATAGTTACTCGAGTACGTTTTTTCAAACTCGAGTAGGCATGTTTTATTATGAAGTGTTTTAAACCCCGGGAATGATCATTTTTGGATGCACTGAATGAAACAAAGTATCTATTCCGGAAACAAAATGAAAATATTTAAAAACAAACAAACAAACACAATTAATTATGGCATGAATAACTACATTTATAACATACCTATGGTGATGTATAGTGCAAAGTGTACACAAGACAGCGGGCCAATATAGGTTTTGAAAAGCCCGCGCCCGCTAAATTTCTGATTGGTCAAGGCGCTGACGTCATAACCAATCAATCGAAGATAAAACTGCGCCAGCAATTTTTCTTAACTCATTTCAATCATTTTCAAACCATTTGTTTGTCAATTCTATAAGAAAACGGTATTCTCTGACCAGTCTACATCATCATAGGTATGTTATAAATCGTTTATGACACTATCGTGGCACATATGCCCTCGGTTCTCAGAGATCAATGTCCCTCCTCAAGGTCGGGCCATATATCACTGAGACCTTGGGCATATATGCCACGATAGTGACATAACCTCTAATTATTCCCACTAAATTGATACAAACTATATATAACATCAATAACATATAGAAGAAACGAAGAAATTGTATCTATTTGGTCTTCAAACAGTCGACTAGGTGAGTTTTTTATTTTTTTTAAATTTTTCCCTCATTTTTGCGAGTGGTACTCGATTACAGTGGCATTTTCACACTTTCTACTCGAGTAGCATTTTTCTTGCGAGTTGCACCACTAATATTGACTGTCTATATCCCCCTCAAACTTCGTTCAATGGGATAATGTCACACTTGCAACCAGTTAAGCCAGTTTTTTAATTTGATTAGTACATGTTACATTCAAAAGAGTAATTAGACTGACTGTTAATTTTCATATCTAGATGCCTTATGTGTTTCATATATCACTTCAGTCTTGGTTTAAGGCAAGCAACAATTAACTTGTTTGATATATTTCACAAGTACTGTCCAGTTCTTAAATCCTTAAGCACTTGATATTTATCAATAGACTAGATGCGAGTAGAATTAATCTTGATTTACATCATTAAATATTCAAAATTCAATCATAATGATGTCATATCTAAAATCTACATGTAAAGTGCATGTAGAAATATGGTTTCGAAAATCAACTTTTAGAATTCAACTTTTTGAAAATGTGACTTCTAGTTCGGGGATATTCCCCATAGACCCCATGTTATAAAACCACAAAAAGTGAAATATCTTTTCTTGTATTGGACAGATAAAATATTATTTCAATTGACATATTTTAATTTGCATAACTATGAGATACAGCAGGGTGATAGGAAAATTTAACCACTAAAACTGATGAGTATTTAAGTTAAGGGGACTTCCTAGTATAATTGCCATGCTATCTGACCCAAATAAGCCACCTGGTGGGGAAACTGGTAACTACCTACTCGCATCTGAGTTATTCTGCTTTGAAAGTGAGGTCATTGGACTACTTTATGAAATTCTAAACACATGAAATACTAAGTTTACTTTCTACTCACAGAGCCTATTCTAGGTAATCCAGTCTTCTTACGTATTGCCACTGCCCGCATATGTAGAGGTTCAGCCAGCTCATGCCTAAAACAAACATATAGAAACATGGAGAACATTTTTGATAGCCCTTCTACCAAAACTCAGTGGCACATTTATATTAAAGGGGCATCAAAGACTTGAGATTTCAATTCAAAGTAACTTAGTAACATTTAGCAAATTTCTGCATCTGAAATAAAATTTTATCATGTATCTTGATTCTTTTCACACAATACATGTAGTAACAATGTGAGGGTAACAATGTTATGTATTTTAAAAGATTGCTTTCAAAGTTTTCCATTCTATTCTCTTTTGCCACTTTCCCATTTATTTCTTCTTTCATCTCTCTGTTCACATGTAGGGTGGCAAGTAGAACTGGCATTAGTTAAAAAGGCAAAAATAACACAGAGGAATTAACAAACTAGGCCATATAAGGCGAATGTGATGAAAGTAAAATAAGACAACATACTTGTCCTGCTTCTGAAACAATACAGCTAGTGAATCTAGTTCTTTGGCAACAAGAGGATGATTTGAGCCAAATGCACTCTCATATATGTCCAATGCTTGCTTGTAAAGTGCCTCAGCTGTACTGAACTTGTTCCATTGTGCATGCAGACCTTGGAAATAATATGAAGTTAAAATGCAAAATAATGACATCAATCTTTTAGGATTGTCTGATGTAGTGGCCTATTTTCTGGAGCATCATTAAAGATACATTCTATGTTTAGACAGTCATGCAAAGATTGAGGAAATTTTTAAAATATACTAATTGAATAAATTGATGCAATGATCAAGCCAAGACTTGGAACTCGCCTGCTAATAGACATTCAAAATTCAGTGAAAGTGATGTCATATTATAATCTAGGTATATGTATAAGTACATCTAGATTTTTTTGAAAAATTGTTTATAAATGTTGAAAATTTAATTTTCTTTTGAAAATGTGACTTTTAGTTCCGAGAGATTCCCTATAGACCCCATATTATAAAATCATAAAAGTGAAATATCTTGTCTTGTATTGGACAGATGATATTTTCTTTTCCTGGACATATTTTAACATTAGATTCATATTTTGCTCACTCATGAAGTGCTTTGAACAAGATAACGAAGCTTAGCGGAAGTATAATACAATTGACAATATATTAGAAAGTGTATTTCATTTTCAACTTCCTGCATATCACACATTAAACAAATTTTATTTTTATTTTTTATTATTTTTTTATTTATTTATTAAAATCATATAAACATATATACATATCGGTGATAATGACACCCTAGTGGGTGTATGTCTTATCACAAGCTAAAATATTAAAAAATTCTGTCATGCAAGTCTAATTTAGGATTATATCTTCCAGTTTCTACCCTCAGAGGTACACCACACCTAAGTTTTGCCAAAGCTTGTCTGTAAATCCTAGGTAAATACATCTCAACATATTCCTCAATATGAAAACAAGATTTATGGAGTCTCTAAGTTTATTACCATTTTCTTTGTTTTTATTGTCATTCCATAAGTTTGTATGCCAATCAATTTGATGTTTATCGATAAGTTTATTTTGAAACTTTTAATCTTGGCCTTAGTGCCATGGATTTGTGCACATTCTTTATCAGTGAAATCGGTTAAGCTATTTTGACCAAAAATCTTAATGACCTGGTATTCCCAGGATTTTTTTATATTTTTTGACCAAGTAAATATCTTTTTAGTAACACAGGAATTATTCATATTTGTAAGTCTACACCACTGACGAATTCGAAAGGTTTCCTTAAGTTGAACACTTTGTTAATGAGTACAGCTCCTTAAAATATTATTCACAATTCAAGAAACATACTTATTTAAAGAACTACTTGAAAAAAACAACAACTACCAGGATCAAAACTCAAATTCTTAGCAAGATGCGACAAAGGACGATTCTCGGTTTGGAGAACGAAGTTCATCAATCTAACAATTTTTTTTACATAATATAGATTTGAATGTCTTCTTTTGAATAGTCATAATTTAATTTGGGTAATATTTCTAGATTTTTCGCAAAAAATATTAGCGCATTACACTGATGAACTTCTTTCCCCAAATCGAGACTTGTATTTTATTGAATCGGTCTAATTGGGTGTTCATTTGGTGATTACTTTGAGCCTTGAAATGGTGTAAAACCCAATTAAGAAGTTGTCTGTAGCAAGAAAAACTCATTTTAACCCAATTATCTAAGAATAATTCGTTGTTTAAAGGGCCATCCATTACTGTATTCAAAAATGTGATTTCTGATAGTCCTGAAAAAATTCATAGTAATAGAGGTTTAATATCACAGATAGAAAATATACCATGGGTGGCTGATGTATTTTTTGAGAAAAAAATCCTCGAAATTTCAATTTTTAAGTGCATGCGGCTCAGGGGTAACCTTATTTTACCTTAATAATTTTTAAAATATGCAATGTATGCATCTCATATGAGCTAAAAATGATGCATAGAGCATTGTTTTGTCATATTATTTCTAATTAGATGTAAAAAAATTATTGGAAATTTTTCAAAAATCCAAATTTTCATTTTTGCTTCTAAAAGACCAGGGGTAACCATATTTTACCTTAATAATTTTCAAGATATGTAATATATGCATCTCAAATTAGCTCAAAATGGTGCATATAGTTTTGTTTTATCATATTACCCTTGATTAGATGTAGAAAAAAATGATTTGACATTTCTTAAAAATCTAAATTTTCATTTTAGCTTATTGTGGCCCATGGGTAGCCATATTTTACCTTAACAATTTTAAGAGATGTATGCATCTCAAATAGCTTTAAATGGTTTTTTAATCTTCTTTTGTCATATATTATTCCTAGGGAATGTAAAAAATGTTTGGTAATTTGAAAAAATGACATTTTCATATTAGCTTTTGATGCCATTTTACCGTAATAATTTAAATAAAGATATATCACACTTGCTACTCAAACGAGCTCAAAATGCTGAATATAGTCAAGTTTTGTCATTTATTCCTTCTGAGATAAGAAATAATGATTAAAAAATTATACAAAATGAATCTCAACATCCATTTATTCCTTTTTAGTACCAGTAGCTCAATAATGTACTATAGTTTTATTGAGCACTTTTCTAAGATATGAAAATGTTTGACAGTCCAGTTTATACCGAGTAGTAGCATTGTTAAGATTCTGTGCATAATCATTTGAAAATATAATCCAAATCCATAAAACATAATCAAACAGGTCAGAATTTATAGATTCTGACAGTCTCCCCTGTAGCAAATGAGATATGATTTCAAACATTTGCATATGTTCCCTCAACACTCCTTAAACATCAAACACGTTTTTTGCATGCCTCGCATGCAGCATCTTTTGTTATTATACAGATATCCACTTCATAGGACCTACATTTTCATATGTTGTGGCCTCAAAATCCAGAATATATTCTTTCTTTTTACCCCTTGCGATAGGCAGTTAGCATTTCCCGATTAAGAACTCGCAATCTGATTGGCTGTCGCGACCCTGCGACAGAAATTATGTATAAGTCATTGCGAATAATTAGATCACGTGATTCAGTGTAATCGGGTGCTCCCAAATTGGTTATAGCAGGGTGAAGAAGGAGGTACGGATTCTGGGCACCCGCTAAGGAGGATGTGCTTATGTAAGTATATCAAATAACATGAAAAATGTTTAACCTGACACAAGACATTGATTTGTTGTGAAATAGTGATCAATGACAGAATTTTTGTGCTATTATGTTTGGATCTTCAGTTTTATTTTTTCTCAAAGAGGAAAGTCGATCCCCTGATCTCTGTCAATGTGACGTCATTCATAAATTATGCACCCATGCGCAGTACATTATAAGGAAGGCAATATGGCGACTTACACAATTCTGAGCCAGAGTGGAGGTCTCCAAATTGAAATAAATATGTTTGTTTATGCATCAATCACTGACATATGTTACCCAGTCAACCTTTTTAATAATATACCTAATATAATACAAGGGGCGATCCATATATTCTGATAAAAATGCTCTTATTTTGTGATTTTTTTCACATTACCCTTTCATTTTTTCAGAACATGTAGATTATGTAATTACACATACGATGCTAAAATATCATAGCTATATCTAAAATTAATTTTGAAATAAGGTTGCCATGGTTACTGTATTTAGGGTAGGCAGGTAAGTTAAATTATAACATATAAAATAGATAAAGTTAATTTAATCATTCCTTGGTACCTATTTTAAGCAGATCAAAAATGGATCTTCCAGTCAACGTTTCTTTGCCCTGTTCCATATAATACCCCTGTTGCCCTTGTTTGATAATTAACACAGTGGGATAGCTATCTTTTCATAAGTAACATCTCAATTTATTGTAGTGTTATCATCTGTCCACAAGCTCTTCTTGCAACCAAATTGTGGATGATCTTCAACAGTGACCATGCCTTCCTCTTTCTGCCTTACTCTTTCTCTTTCTGCCTATAGATTCTTTATGCAGATATAACAACTTGCCCATACACTTAACAAGTCCATGTATGTCTCTGATAGTGTCCTCTTTCTTGATAGAAAATAAAATCGAATGGGATTACCTAATGTATCCGTTAATGTCACACTCTGCATCAGTCACATAAACCTCATCTGACATTTGATTTTTGGTATGTCTCGTGACATGTAATGTCAATTTGTCCATTCTGTCCTGCAAAGCTATTGTGAGTTGTTGTGATGTTATAGTGAGCACAAATAAACATTTGTTTAGCAACAAACAACGAGAACAAGACCAAACTTTTTAAGAAAAAATGCATGATTTCAGCATGCTTTAAAGTAATAATTATAATCAAAATAACAAGATTATGATATTTTACGTATATGTTAAAATTTAATTGACCTGCCTACCTCAAATACAGGTTATCATGGCAACCTTATCTCATAAATAATTTAAGATATAATAGCTATAATATTTTAGCATTGTATGTGTAAATACATAATCTAGATTTTCTGAAAAAATGAGAGGGATATGTCAAAAAATCACAGCATTTTTATCAGAATATATGGATTGCCTCTTGTACTTTAATGAATAAAACTTATTTTGTGAGCTCATTATCCCTTTAAGGGAACCTTTCACTATACCTGTCATGCTATCTGACCTTAATTAGCCACCTGGTGGTGATACTGGTTACTACCTTCTCACATTTGGGTTATTAATGCAATGATCAAGGGGTGTCTACAAAACTAAGACCTAAGACCTACAAAACTAAGACCCCCCACGTAATAAAACTAAGACCCTGTTATAAAACTAAGACCCTGTTATAAAACTAAGATCCCCATGTTATAAAACTAAGACCCCCCACGTTATAAAACTAAGACCCTGTTATAAAACTAAGACCCCCCACGTTATAAAACTAAGACCCTGTTATAAAACTAAGACCCCCCACATTATAAAACTAAGACCCTGTTATAAAACTAAGACCCCCACGTAATAAAACTAAGACCCTGTTATAAAACAAAGACCCCCCACGTTATAAAACTAAGACCCCCCACGTAATAAAACTAAGACCCTGTTATGAAGCTAAGACCCCCCACGTTATAAAACTAAGACCCTGTTATAAAACTAAGACCCCCATGTTATAAAACTAAGACCCTGTTATAAAACT